CCTTATTCTTCTTATTATTAGTAGTAGTATTATTAGTAGTAGTATCGTTGTTAGTAGCATTCTGATTATCATCATTATGATTATGTTTTTGAGAGGCTACATTTACCTTAGGGTCTGGTTTCGGCCTTAAGGGAGGGTAGGCTTTGGGCACATGTTGTGGCCACAGCCACAGGGGTTTCTCGTCGTTGCAGCACGTCCGCAGACATGAGGCATCGGCTTGATTGCACCAAGATCCACTTGTTTGGATGTGATGAGGCTTAACAACTAGGTGTTCTTCATCTTCAGACAGGGGCTCCCCAAACCCTAAGCCCCAAACGTTACAGCTTACGGTTGAAGACGGCGTTTCTGCATTACTGCGACGTCAACAAGGTCCTTGCGCCGTAGTCCGTGTAGGACATAGAATGGCTGGCATCGCTTCACAGATTAGGGATTATACGGTTTAGAGTTAAACCGCCAGCCCAAAACCCGAACCCCAAAACCCGAGCCCCTAAACTTAACTACGAACCCTAAACCTAAAAGCCCGTACCCCGACGCACCACAAAAGCGCACCGGCTGGCCAAAGCCACATCGCGAGGTTGGCTGCTGCACTTGAAGGCCGCTGTTGAAGAATTTAGGGTTCAGGGTTTAGGGTTTAGAGTACGTATATCGATGATGCTGATGGTGCATGATGATTCTATGATGATGGCAGCGACAGTTGTTTTGATGACCTGCAGTGCTACTGTGGATGTGGTTGTTCAGATTTCAGTACGGCATCTTGTGATGAGGACGACCTAGACCTAGACCTAAACCTTAAACTGATATACGGTATATCATCGTCATCATCATCCACGCGGGTGCATGCAAGGGCTGTGCTGTTTGTCCGTGGGATTCGCTTCTCGGGTTTATACTTTAAGCATTGCGGGTTTAGGGCAAAGTTTAGGATTGGTTTTTGTCACTCAGAGGCTCCGTTCGGTTGCAGGGATGCTCCGAATATTGCACTTGGGGGCTTCTCATTCAAGGCTCTATACTTAAAGGACCACAGTACTTAGTAAGTAGCGTTATATTTTTAAGGTAACTATACTTATAACCCCAATTAGGGGACACATAACCCTACTTACTAAGTCCCATGATCCTTTAAGCAGCGCCACTCTGCATTAGGCATGTAAGGTTCGAAGTGTTGAAGGCTTCTCCTTCGACACCGCGCATCTGAATAGTTGGCCAGGGTGTATATATGGGGGTTTCCGAAAATAGGGGACCCTAATATAGCACCCTAAATAGTAGGACCCTTATTATGAGGACCCCAAAATAAGGTACCCTAATTTCTGGAAACTCCCATATGGGGTTAGTGCATTCACTCCGACTGACAGCCGCAACTCGTGGGTCTATGGTAAGGTAAGCCCTAACCCCTAACCGTAAAGCCCGAAAGTCTGCAGAGTTTCTCTAAACCCTGAACCCTAAATCCTAAATCCTAAACCCTACACCCCTAAACCCCTAAACCCTAAACCCTGAACCCTAAACCCTAAACCCTAAACCCCAGGACCTGCGCTGGGAGTGTGTGGCCGATGGTACCACACCGGTGCCACGACCTTTGAGCTCCTTTGCAGAGCAAGGCGTGACTTCGATCGTAGACGTGTCCGTATGTTTGGGTTTAGGGTTTAGGGTTCAGGGTTCAGGGTTTAGGGTTAGACTTGTCCGTATGTTTGGGTTTAGATCCAACGCACCCTTGTTTCGGGCTCAGGGTTTGCACTTTGTATTTTGAGACGGTACACGAACACAGTATACGAGAGTTTTCTACATTCAGATCCCCAAAAAGGATACTCACTGCCAAAAAACAAGATGCAAGAAACAACCTAGTAGAGATAAAGAGTCTTTCGGCGGTCCGCCCGTTTCAGAATCCTGAGCCTTACCCAAGGGCTCCTATGTAGTTCCTTTTTGGATAGTATACTATAAATCCTTACCAAACCATAACAGTCATAAGTTCCTTTTTGGATAATATACTATAATTCCTTACCAAAAAAACCAAAACAGACCCAAAAAACCCTAGACCCGAAACCCTAAACCCTAAACCCTAAACCCTAGAGCCCCAACCCCTAGGAACTACATTGGAGCCCCTGGGTAATCTCGACAGGTGACACAGCTCCGAAAGAGCTGGGGCGATGCCACGCAGTGTGGTCCGTCTCGGAGACTCGGCCCCGAAGTGCAGGATCCCAGATAGCCCAATACAGCTTAACAAAGGAAAATTTAGGGTTTAGGGTTTACCCAAAAGGAAATTTAGGGTTTAGGGTTTAGGGTTTACCTAAAATTATATGGGGCTTCATATTAAGATTTAAGCTATATTCCTTATTTAAGGGGTATTGGGCTCTCTGGGATTGCCAACAACAACGCAATACAACACGATCTGCCGCTGTTGCTGTCAGGTCGTCTGAGTCTACGCGCTGGTTTGGCATGATTTTGAGTGAGCTGAAATTTACACCTGGAAGCCCGGGGCCCGGAGAGGACGGATGAGCAATGCAATATAAATGTCTGATTCACTAACAAGGATTCGCCTTGCGAATCATCGTTGTAGCTTTGTTGCCGGGGACCCCTCCGCTTCCACTTCCAAGCATTGGCAGTGCAGAGTTTAGGTATTATTAGTATTATTTGTATTTAATGATATTGAATAGAGTTTAGGTAGTGTTATTAATTAGTACTATTATCTAATGCTATTGAATAGAGTTTAGGTATTATTATTACTATTATTTAATGATAACTGAATATATCATATTAAATGAAACATTGATATTGAATATGTTGTATTAAATGCCCTGAACCCTAAACCCTAAACCCTAAACCCTAAACCCTAAACCCTAAACCATAAATAAAGTTCCCATGGCCACCCTGAGGCCTGAAGCCTCAACTCCCTCGGCCCGACGGAAGCTTTTCAATTAGGGTTTAGGGTTTAGGGTTCAGGTTTAGGGTTTTTGGTTTAGGGTTTAGGGTTTAGGGTTTAGGGTTTTGGGTTGTGGGTTTTGGGTTTAGGGTTTAGGGGCTCAGCCCTAAACCCTAAACCCGAAACGAAGGAGAAGGCTGTGATCATCTGGAGCTGCCACGGCTTCTGGGCGTGGCAGGAGGCGGACCAGACGTGACCTGGCCTGGTCGGTTTTCAGCGGTTTAGGGTGTAGGGTTTAGGGTTTAGGGGTTAGGGTTTAGGGTTTAGGGTTTAGGGACTTTGATTCCCTTCCGTTTTTCTGTTTGGGGCTTGGGGTTTAGTGTTTAGTGGCTTAGGGCTTTGGGATTCCATTCCCCGCTGCCAATTCCGAAAGCACACTTATTTGCATGCCGGTTCTGGAACAGAAGCCTTCCAAAGCCATCTCCGTCGCGGTGGCGTTGTTTTCGAACATGTGTTCCGTCTCCCATTTCTCTGGGTTTGTATTGGATGATCCGTCGAGCGACAGCGCGATTTCACGTCATCACTTTGATCCACATCGATAGCACTGCACACTGACCTGCAGTGTCATGCATCACGGATGTTGCTTACTTTAGATTCTGCAGCATCACCGCCGTCATCGTGGTAATCGCAGGTTCATTGAAGAACTTGAAGCGGATAAGTCGCCTCTGAGACAAGGATACCCGACGCCATGCAGAAGAGTGCCAGGCGCAGGACTCACCACTAGTGAAAGCCTCCGCCAAAGACTGCAATCGTCAAAAGTTGCAGTATCAAGCCAAGTTCTGCCCCCACCCCAGCCCATCAACCCCACCCCACCCCACCCTACCCTTCCCATGCTCCGAAAGCCTTAATCAGCTGGGCATATGCAACTTCATACACACAACCCTACTTGGAGGCCCTTTTGACTTAGTAAGTAGGGTTAGTAAGGTGGGTTATGGGGATTATAAGAGGGTTTCTAGGGGATACTAAGTAGACTTACTAAGTCAAAAGGGCCTCCAAGTAGGGTTTATACTCTCGACAGCAAGACCGAAGCAAGACCTTAGGGTTTGGGCTAGGGTTTAGGCTTTGAGGTTTAGGGATGTCCCGGAA